TCTCGGGCATCTTGAACTTGGGGCCCTTCAGTTTTCCTTCGGGGCACTCCAGCTCAATATTTGGTGCCTCAGCATCTAGTTTGGGCCCCTTGATGTCCACTTGGGGTCCCTTCAAAGCACCTTCTACCTTTGGAGCCTCAACATCCACTTCTCCTTTCACTTTGGGTCCCTTCAGGTTCAAATCCACGTCGGGCATGGACAGTTTGGGTGTCTTGATGTTCAGCTTCGGCATCCTGAACTTGGGGCCTTTCCATTTCCCTTCTCCTCCTCCAATGTGCACTTCCGGCATCTCCATGTCCACCTCCGGCCCAGCAAGATCTCCCTCTCCTTTTCAACCTCGAGTTCGGCTCCCTCAAACTTGGGGCCCGAAACATGAAAATGAGGCATTTTCAGTTTGGGCGTTTTCAGGTTGGCTTCCGGACACTCCAGGTTGACGTCTGGGAGGTCGACGTCCATTTTCGGTCCCTTGATGGTCACGCTGGGTTCTTTCAGGTCACCTTCTACCTTCGGAGGGGAAACCTCCATCTCGCCTTTCATTTTGTGTCCCTTCAAGTTCAAATCGACGTCTGGCATGGAGAGTTTGGTCGTCTTGACGTTCAGTTTGGGCATCTTAAATTTGGGGCCTTTGATTTTCCCTTCTGGGCATTCCAGGTCTACCTCAGGCAGATCGACGTCCACTTTGGGACCTTCCACGTCCAGCTGGGGGCCTTTCAGATCTCCAGAGATCTTCACGTCAGCATCTCCTTTCAGTTTGGGGCCCTTCAAACTCAGATCGACGTCCGGCATGGACAGTTTGGGCGTCTGAACGTTGAGTTCGGGCATTTTAAATTTGAGGCCTTTCCCTTTTCCTTCTGGCCCTTCGATGTCCACACTGGGCACCTCGACGTCTACTCTGGGACCAGAAATGTCCACCTCGCCTTTCGGGAGGGTCACATCAACGCTGGGACCTTCTCCCTTCAGGCCGGGCACCCCGAATTTGGGCATTTTCAACTTGGGCATCTTCAGTTGCCCCTCCGGGCCGTGGACGTCCACGTCAGGGGCTCCAACCTCAACCTTGGGGCCTTTGATGTCAAGTCCAGGTGCCTTCAGCTCCCTTTCCAGTTTTGGGGCAGAAACGTCGAGGTCTCCTTTCACTTTGGGACCTTTCAGCTTCAAGTCGATGTCCGGCATGGAGATCTGGGGGGGCTTGAAGCTCATCTCAGGCATCTTCACGTGGGGGCCTTCCAGCTTGCCTTCTGGCCCTTTGATGGCCACACTCGGCACATCAACATCAACCTTGGGACCAGAAATGTCCACCTCGCCTTTCGGGAGGGTCACGTCAATGCTGGGACTCTCCCCCCAGACCAGGCTCTCCGGATTTGGGCATTTTCAACTTGGGCATCTTCAGTTTGCCCTCCGGGCCGTGGATGTCCACGTCGGGTGCTCCAACCTCGACCTTGGGGCCTTTGAGCTCGAGTTGAGGACCCTTCAGCTCAGCTGCTGCCGTGGGGATGGAAACGTCCACGTCCCCCTTGACTTTGGGGCCTTTCAGGTTTAGGTCAAAGTCCGGCATGGAGATGAGGTGCATCTCGGGCATCTTCACGTGGGGGCCCTTCACTTTTCCTTCTGGCCCTTCGATGTCCACGCTGGGTACGTCAATGTCTACTCTGGGAGCAGAAATGTCCACCTCGCCCTTCGGGAGGGTCACGTCAA